CATTTTGGGTTTCTTTACTGTTTCTTTAAAGCTCCCCTCCTTACCACAGGGTTGGCAGTTTGCCAACTGTGACTTCTAAGTATCAGCTCTAAGTGGGCATGGCTAAGGCTTTTTCCCTTCTCCCTCCATTCTCCTCTTCCATGCAGCTGCTAAGGTTTTCAGTTTGCCTGCCCTGACGATTTTTCATTTAGCCTCTAATAAAACTATCCTAAAGTTTCCATTTGAGTCCATTCTTATTTTATTAACAAAACTAAGAGGGGACCCTTTTGTCCCCTGTACCATCTGGCAACCATAAAGAAATATCTAAAATTCCAGTAGCTAAAGTAGATGCTAAACAGTATGTTAAATAGTAAGAACCAGTGTCAGGATTGAAAACTATCATCTTTATGTATAGCCATGTCAATGGTCATGTGGGACCACTTGGACCTTGCACTTGGGAGGTGATGAGAAGAGAAGGGAGCAGTAGCAATAGTTTAAATAAATCTGACACTATAAGAAATCAGAGAAGTCCAACAAGAAAGTGGTCAGTGAGGACAAGGGCAGGGTTGGTTTTTTTTTTGGTTCTACAGGAGCTTCCGCTTTTTCTAATTAATTATCTTATTATTTTTATTTTTGTGTATGAGTGTATTGCCTGCATGTAAGTGTACCCATGCCATGCAATGCCTGTTGATGTCAGAAGAGGGTTTCAGATCCTGTGGAACTGGAGTTATGGATGGTTGTTAGCTGCCATATGGGTGCTGGGAATCGAATCTGAGTCCTCTGACAGAGCAGCCAGTCTTCTTAATCACTGAGCCACCTCTCTAACCCCCTCCCCTTTTTTTTTAATATGGAGTAAAACTTGATCGTGGTTATAAGATGAGGAGGAGCCATGGATGGGCAAAAGGTAGGATATCAGACTAAGGACAAGCGCTCGATCAGGTCTCCAAGGTGTTGGATAAGAAAGGGATTCTTAGGCTGTGGTCCCCTTGGAAAGGTGAACAGATGTTCCAATGCTAGCTGAAGGAGGAGGGTGGGAAGAAGGCTGTCTATGGTGTTAGAGTTTAGTAATGTTGGGTGGACTGCTGGAAGGCCAAACACCTCACCATCATGTTTTGCTGCAGTGTAAGAAGTGAGATACCAGCTTGGAATGGATGTCCATGTCTGGCGTGAGAAGCCCCAGCAGCTGCTGAGGTAAATGAAGCATCCTTGATGAGAAAGATACCTGCCAGGAAGGCGTCTACAGTTCTGCCCTTGGAACCAGCTTCTGGCATGAAGAACTGGAGTCTCGGACTGAATCCGGTAAGATTCAGAAGGAAGAGAGAGCCTAGGCTCTCCTCAGGATGCTAAAATAAAGGTCTGGGGTACAGTGGAGGGTCTTAGTTCTAACTCAAAGCAATCCTGCCCCTTTCCATGGGAATCAAAAGCATCCTCAGAAGACTAGAAGTAGTCAATCTAGAATTATAGGGGTCAAGGCAGTTTAAAGTTAGTAAAATCTAGAATTATGTCCCTATCAAGAACTTGAAGTACATCAAGGCCACAGAAGCATAAACAAGCATGTTCTACTCCTATAAACTGCACTGCTAGTTATAAAGATGCATACATGGCTGAAATTTGTATATAAGCCCACAAGAGTCTTGCAGTGTGGAGGGCAGTGTGAGCCTCAACTTTCTAAAAATGAAAAGGCAGTTCTGACAGAGCCTGTACCTGCCAAAGGCCTTATGCTGCTTTTCAACCTATCCGTATGACAGACACTCAAATATGCACATGAATTCTCCTGATCTCAATCTCAATGCTGGGGACTGACCAGATTCTAAATCTTGGGAGAAGGGAATGAAATATTCAGAGGAGGGAGGAGCTTCTCATTTCTGTTGCAACTCCAAGTAACCAACCACAAAGGGAGAATTCAGATCTGGAGTCTTGATCTAGGAAAATCAGATCAGATTCCCTGGGGGAATCTGTTTTCTACTTTTGTACTACAATGAATTTACTAAAATTGACCCTACACTATATTCTTATTATTTTTCCAAAGAAAAATTGCACTAGTACACAAAGTGAAAGCAACTTTATAGCTCAAGTATGCATTGTGTTAGGCTGAGACATTTGATATAAAAAGGAAGATTTTTTTTTTATCTTGTGAAAAAAGCTATGGCAGCAAAACTTCAAAGACAAGTAAACGGTTCTCTATAAATGATATCATAGAAAGAACATGCTAAATTCAAAGCAATGTATCCACTAGCTACAGCTGAATTCAAACTTACTTTTGATAAAGGAATTTCAAAAGCAGAACATTTATCAATGAGGAGTGGGGTGCCTCTTTATCACTTTTAGAACATAGCCTTTCAAGTGTCCATTAGCACCTAGGTGGTGAAGATAAAGTATCTGCCAAAACAGAGATGTCAGCAGAAGTATCCTAATGTAGACACTTAATGCAATGCTCCGACAAGCTGCTCCAGACTGCTGGGGCGGCCCTACAGACAAGGACGCTTACAGAGGCATGTACTCCCTTAAAATGGCAACTTGTGCTTAAAAATAATCAGTTCTTCAAGCAAAACAACATTTTCACTTAAGTAGCTAAATTTCTGTTATATTTAGATGAAAACATGTCTTTAATTTAATCATGTGTATGCCTGACTTTAAAAACTCCTTTTTGAATAAAGAAAAATCATTCAACCATTAAAAACCAGTTTATGTTTATCACTGACATTATTTATCTAAGGTTGTATTTGCTAGTTAGTGACTATCACAGAAACTGACATGCTTTTAAAGAAAATATAGTTGGAAATATGGGGGAGGAAGAAAGACATTCATTCAGTTTCCTATAAACCAGTACAATTGGCCTTTAATTGGCTGGAGGGGGTGGGGGGAGAAATAACCTCTTTTTTTTTCTTTCACCACAGAGGTCACTGAAACTGTAAAGGTTACCAAGACATGGCCCCTAAATGTCAGCTTCAGAAACTGAAAGCAAAATTGAACTTCAGCAAAATGAATGTTCAAATCCACAACTTTAGTACCCAGTCTATATTCCAAATTCAGTCTCCCTGGTTCCCTGAATAACTGCTTGTGTTCTGAGACTGTCAGCATGCCTTCACACATGTTCTGCTGAACCTACACATGATATACATACAAAATCCATTTTATATTACTACAAGCATTTTCACTTCCTGTTTTACACTCAATGCCTAACCTAATGCAACTCAAATGCCTGCATTTTTTCCAAGTTAATAACAAGTACAATAAAATAGTACAAGTTCTCAATTTTAAGACTCTTTAGGGATTCAAACATGCTAATATTGCACGAGTGTTAATTAATGTCATCATAACTATAACTAAGGAAGGCCTCACAGAAATCCTATCACCAAAAGTACAATTCCAAAAATTTTTGAACATATATTTGAAAACCAGACTTGTTTTTAAAAATAGCACATGGCTCATACATTTTACCCTTCAAATAAGCTTTGACATCTACAGTCTGAATTTATGGCATTTTATCTCAAATTTATATCTTATTCAATATGAAAGCTCTCTGATTATACAACAGGTATTTGAAAGCGGTGTTATTTTGGCTATAATGATAGTAATGATAATGAGCAGACTAAAGACGACTGAAATCAGAAAACTCCTAGCACCAAAAATTTAGGTAACAGCTCCAATATCCAGGATGCTTTGGGGGGGGGAAAGTAGTGAGCCGGATTTAAGGGCATCTCGGAAATAGTTCTCAGACATAGGCCTTTTATGCATGGCACGCTGAGGTTAATCATCAGTTTAACGTTGAATTTATTTAGCATTCTAAGATAAATGAAAACTTGCTATTATTCCTGCTTCGAGTCTGTCCTGAATCTTACAAAAAGTTCACAAAAGGATTTACAGATATGAAGCTTGACAGGCACTTGTGTGGCCACAAAAATCCATATTTCCTCAGTTTTCACAGAGGAAAACAAAATGCATTGCAAAAGCTGGGAGGGGGTGCATCTTTGGCATCTAAAAACATCAAACCCCACTCTGCTGAATATGTCTTTTGATTCGTGGTTACTGTCATTATGCTTTTGGCAACATCTGGATAAATTAAAAAGCGTTTCCCTCAAATAAAGCAGAAGAAAACTTCAATCTACAATTCAGAATATATTAAAGTGCTGACCGGGCGTGGGGAGTCAGGAGAAAATGTTTCTGGGAAGCTTATTTTTAGGATTGAAAACAACTAAAATACGCGGCCAGAAAAATCTTCCGATAAAGGCTGGATGGGAAATAAAACTTGGGTCCATCGCATATCCTGGACTCCGACGCTCAGGCGGTAAGGCAAAACCCTTTCTGGTCGACTTCACCAAAATGCGCACTTCATCACCAGAGGCCCGGGCCCTCCCATTCTCGTCCTTCGACCCAGAACGCTGCGTGGAAGCTCCGGGAAGGGAGAGGGGTGCGAGAAAAGGGGGTGCCTGGCAGCTGCCCCTCGCTTTCTTCGCAGTTCAGCTTTGCACAGTTGAGGGTCCTCCTTCTTCCCTGTGCGCACTGGAGAGTGAGGAGCTGGAGCCCGCTCTCCCCCGGGAAAGGAGACCCCGAGAGCAGTCGGGGGCTCCGGATCCCCCGCGGGGCTCTCCCACGACGCCGCTCGGGCGCGCAGGGCCCGCGCATCCCGAGCCCGCCGCCCTGTCCTCTCCCGGGCGCCGCCTGCCCGGCGGGGGTGCAAAGCACAAGCCTGCGGGGGTGCCCCGGTGTCGCGCACCAGCCTGGGAGTCCCGAGCCACTCACCGCAGCACCACGAGCCCAGCAGCAGCGCTGCCACCAGGGGCCACATCTCCGCGCCGCCGGGGGTCGCCGCCGCAGGTGTCTAGCAGCCGTCGCCTCCGCAGACTTGACAGGAAGGACCTGCCGCCGCCGCAGCAGTGTGAGGCAGGAGCGGCCGCCCAGGCTGCCCGGGAGCGCGCACGCTC